CTGAAGAGATCGTGATCATGTACTCGACAGAGCACAGCTTAAGGTACCGCAACAGCGCCACTCCTGGAGAGCTACGTTCTTCCGCTTTTGCCTCTTTCCGCGCGGTTCGTCTTGCTAAGTTTGCTGACAAGATGTGAGTGCAAGTGGCAACCCTCAAGTGCTCGAGATTGCTCCCGCGCGGCGTTTTCGCCCATCCACGTTCACGCTTTCCCTGCGTCCCTGCAGGAGTGATGCTGCTGCTGCTGATGATGATGATGATGATGATGATGATGATGATGATGATGATGATGATGATGACGACTGGACAGACAATGCTCCTTCTTTTGCGGCTCACACTGATGCTGGCACCCGAGCTTAAGGGCTCAGATTATGATGGCGAGGTTGCTGATGGGGTGGTCACTATGGATCTCTGTCCTTCTCCCTGCTCGCGCCCGCCGTCTCCGAATTCGCCATCCACAAGCCCCTGCCACGTTGATTGCGACTCCTGAGCGCGCGGGAAAGCTGGCAGAGTTGCGCGAAGATTATCCTCCCCGCCGCCTGCCATTTCTGAAAGGTTGGCCGATGTCGCCGATGCCTGTGAGGACTCCGAGAACGGGTTTGGCATCTGCTATTGAGCCCAGTGATCTTGCTCGCCCTCGTTTGCTGCGGCTTCTTTGTCGCATCCACACCCCTCCCCTCGTCCTTCGCTCCTGGGCGTTACTTCTGCCAGTGCGATGCCCCCCACCTTCCCTGTCCTGTGCCTTGTCCCTCTCTCTGACCCGCCGATCGGTTTCATCCCGCGTTATCCCTCCCCCTGTCCTTCTTCCCCTTCGTGTGGCGATGCGCGTGCCTGGTCCTCGCTTGCTTCCAGCCCCAGCCGCCTTCCGCAGGACACTGCGGTTCCTTACTTTGCTTCCCCGCGCTTGTCCTCACCGCAGACTGTCTTTCCCTCTGTGTCGTTTCCCGCCGCTGCGCACCTTCGGGGACTTCGACGGCCTCGGCGTGTTCGCGTCCGCCTGCGGGGCGCACCCGCCGCTGCCGCTGCCGTGGCTGTAGGTGGGGAGTCGCGCGGTCCCTACGCTCGTCTGCTCCTCCCCAGCCTCTGCCAGCCCCTCCTGGTTCAGAATTTTGTCAGGGTGTTCGGATGCTGGCTGCCAACGCCCGCTTGGCACAGGCCAGCTGCTGCTGCAGCCACACCTCCCACGAGTGCCCACTCAGCGGGCCGTGCCGAGGGGTGCGGTCAGGAATTTTGCCCCAGCGCGTTGCTCCGACGTTTCTGGCCCACCGCGCTTCGCCGCGACACGCAATTAGCGTCACACTCCCGGAGCGTCAACGTCCCGTGCCGCTCCAGAGCCTCCGGCCCCGCGGAGCGCGGAAGAGGGGAGACACGCCGTCCGCAGGGCAGGCCTGCGCGCGGAGAGAGCGACGGCGTCCTGGACGCGTGCGGAGAGCAGAGAGAGGTGCGAGGTTGGCGGCCAGGAAGAATTACGTTGCATCTTCGGGGGGCCTCGCCTGTCCCCAAAATTGGTGTCTTTTTTTGTACCCCACGCGGGCTCGATGCGGACTCGGCGCGGATTTGGCGTGAATCCGACGCGGATTCGACACGGTTTCGACACGGATCCGACGAGTCCGACACGGATTCGACACGGATTCGACGCGGATAGGGCCGCGCCGCGACGGGACAGACAAGGTCCCCCGAGGCTGCAACATAAGAAGAAGCGATGGACAAGCAATAACATTCACATGAACTGTCGGAGCTCCGCGCGGCATTCTTGCATCGGCGCTGGAACCCCCTGGCGGCACCTCCAGCGCCGCCCCTGGCGCGCTCCGCGCGCCAGGAATGTGAGTCCAGCGCAAATCGGGGAGATCCGCGCGGACCTCCAGAAGTTCATGCCCATGTCATGTTGCGTCCCTCTGAGTAAGAAGAGCCCAGCTCTGTCTTGCTCTCTACCCGTTCCTGCCCGCGCAAAGTTCGATGGCGAACGGTCGCACGCTCGCGAGAGGGGCGCCGTGCCTCTGTCCCGTGCTCCCTCTGCGGCTGCTGCCCCCTGTCGCGCTACACTCGCTCCCGCTTGGCTAGAGGGGTGGAGTTGAGAACCGGGTGCGGGAGAATGTGGAGGGCGAGCGTGATCGGGCTCAGCTCCGTGGCCACAAGGCGCGCAAGGTGCGTGGGAGTTGGGGAGAGCGAGCCCCAAAACATTCCGCTGCAGCGCCGGGGCCACCGAGGGCGAGAAGACGAGTGAGGCGACGGTGAGCCCGAAACCATCAGCTACAACATCAATGCTGGCATGGAGTCGCGGGAGGCGAAGCTGTAGTCAAGAATATGCGAGAGGCAATCGAGTCAGCACGGTCTCAACTGCAGCAACGGGACCAAATCGTGCGAGAAGACACGGGAGGCCAAGCTCAGCCAATCAATGTTCAGCCACAGCACTGGTGCCAACGTGCGAAAGTGAGCTCTAACGCCTGACGTGATGAGCGAAGCTTGCACGAACAGGTCGGACGCTAAGCTCCGGCCAAGGGCAACTGCAGAACGGGTGGCAGCGTGTGCGAGAAGATGGGAACAGCGAAGGTGAGCCCAAACGTGATCAGATACAGCGCGGGGATCCCGGTTTGCGCGAGTGTGTGGGAGGCGAAGATCACCCTGGCCACGCAGAACGACAGCCCTGGGACCCAAGAGTGGGCGAGAAGACATGAAGCGGCGAAGGGCAGCCCACACGTGGCCAGCCGCATCACAGGGATCGCAGCCTGGCGAATGGAGACGGGCGGCGAAGCTGGGCCCAGCCATTCGCAGCAACGGCAGAGGTGCGAACGGGCGCGAGAAGAGGGGAGCGGCGAAAGTGAGCCCAAGCGTGATCGGCTGCATCACGGGCGGGGTTCACGTAGATCACGGTAGCTTCATGCGGCGAGCGCGCGCCGGCGACGCCGGCGAATGCGTTCAAGGCTGAATTCCGCGACGCGGAAGCACCGAGGGACACGTTTACGCCATGGGACCCGACAGAATTCAACCTTGAACGATCGGGGCCGCGATCAGTTCAACGTTCAACGATCGACGCGGTACCCAAAAAACAACTTCGACGTCATCACCGCACGAACGCCGTACGACAGGGGGCGATTAGAGGCGTAGTTGGGCCCAACCACGGACAACCACAGCACGGGGATCCAGGCGCGCCCGCCGACAGGGTTGTCGATTTGCGAGCGGCCCCGCGAAACGGTGATGTTGCCTCGCGCGGGTGGACAGAGGACACCGTCGTGGATCTGGTAGACGAGGCCCATGATCCATTGGCGACGACTCGCGTCTTTGATCTAAACGACGACAGCACCGCTTTCCCCATGCTCACGGGGACAGGCCCGATCGCGGGAGAGTTTGTTCGGAAGAGGTACCTCCCAGCGAGGCACCTCCCTATGGCTGGCTGCGCGTCGATTGTGGGGGCCGGCCATGCCGACTCGCTGCGCGGGTGGCCCCGACATGGAATCCGCGTCTTCGGGGTTGCAGATCCCAGCTGCCGAGGCAATGCCAAGTCGTGTGAACCATGGCGCTCCGATGCGATTGCCCTGTCGTCTCCTGTTTTGCCCCGTTTCCGCCTTCTCTTCCTCCAGACTCTTCCGCTTCTTCCACGCCATTCCTTTCCAAATGCCCCTCCCCCTCCACCTCCGCCTCCTGCCCAGTCTGGTCCAATGCTAGGCCCCCGCACAAGCAGCTAAACGTTGGATCTGCCAACGCGTGTAGCCCCCTGCAGGGGCTGGCATCCCCGCCCATGTTCTAGAGAGTAGCAGACGAGCTGAGATGAAGTGGACGGGAGCGAGCGAGCTCCTCCCTCTCCTCCTTTTCTTTCTCGTTCTCGTCCTCCTCCCCACTCCATCCCTTGTCCTCATAAATAACTGCCCCAGTCGCACCCCGAGGCCGGTCAAAAGGGTGGGCCCAGCTTTTCCTTGAGACTTACCCACCATCTACGATCCCGAAGTTTAAAATGTGCAACAGCTTCAAGGATGCAGGGCTGGTTGTTCTCAAAATGTGGTTCTCGCTGCAGCGCCGCTTACATTCGGTTTAGAATTGCACATGAGTTTCACGGATGGAAGGTGGTCCGCTTTCAAAGTGTGGCTCTCGCCGTAACGCCGCGCACATTCGTTCAAACATTGCAAGGGCTTCATGGATGGAGTGCGGCCCGTTTTTCTATTGTGGTTATCAGTCTAGCGCCGCGCACATTCGTGTTAAAAGTTTAATCGCTTCATTGATGAATGATGTTTCATTTTGAAAATGTGGCTCTCGCTTTTCTAGCGCCGCGCAGATTCGTCTTCATAGTTTGCAAGATGTTCATGGTTAGCATCCCAGAAACGTTATTTCTGTACGACGTCAGAACGTCAGGGTGAAACAGTCACGTTGGTTCGCGGTGTTGAAGTCCCCAGAATCCAAGTCGCGATTCGGCATATTCAAGACGCAACAGTAACAGTAGTTCGCGGCGTTTCTGAGATAGTTACAGATGTTCAAGAGGTTGCTTTCCCACAGGCACTTCCGTCAGTGAAAATGATACCTTGTGGGGGCCTACGAAGATGGATTTTGGAGGGAGGGTGTATTGCAATATCGTTGATGGGTCTTGGGTTTACACTGGCCCCCACTCCTTCCATAAGATCAGACGTTGCGAAACAAATGCAGCATCGCAACAAAATCACGACCAGCGCCCTGGACCCCATCTTTCTGCGCCAGTTCTCGAGCCGGATCGATCTGTGAGTGCCCTGGGACCCGAATACTTGCAAAATCGCCCGCTGTGAAAAAGTTGCGACGCCATGATCTCAGGGTTCCCACTCCTACCCGCCCCTCCCCACCCCTCCTCTGACAGGAGGAGGAGGAGCAGCAGGAGGAGGAGCTCCTCCTCCTCCTCCTCAGCAGCAGCAGCAGCATCATCATCAGCAGCAGCATCATCATCAGCAGCATCCTCCTCCTCCTCCCCCCCACCCCTCCTCCCCACCCCTCCTCCCCACTCCTCCCCACTCCTCCCCACTCCTCCCCGCTCCTCCCCACTCCTCCCCACTCCTCCCCACCGCCCCGCCCATTGACCGCGGCCCCTTCGGCCCGAGGGGCGCACGCCCCGAGGGGCGCCCGGTGGGCGCCCGCGGGGCGTGCGCCGCCGGGAAAGGCCTTCGGCCATGGCGGCCGCGCCCGCGCCCCGGAGCGTGCTGCCGTGCGGCCTTGTGGAGCCCCGGGGCCGGCGCCAACCACGGGTGCCTCGGGCCTCCTCCTCCCTCCTCCTCCTCCTCCTCCCTCCTCCTCCTCCTTCCTCCTCCTCCTCCTCCCTCCTCCTCCTCCTTCCTCCTCCTCCTCCTCCTCCTCCCTCCTCCTCCTCCTCCTCCTTCCTCCTCCTCCTCTTCCTCCTCGGCCAGATCAGGCGGCACCAGTGTCATGTGTGTGTGGGGTCGCTTCCCCGATTCACGGCTCTGGCGCCGACGCGCCAGATCCACGGATCCACGGTCCTCGGCCCGCGCCGTCGCCGCATCCGCCGCCGCCTGGCATCGTTCGGGCGAGCGCACGATTGCAGTCCACGCCAGTGGCAAGGGGGAAGGAGTTCCCAGGGTGCCATGCCCTCGCGCCCTTCCCCTTGCGGCCCCTCCTGTGGCCGCTTTCGCCAGCCGCCCCCCCCGCTCGAACGGTGTCGGCACGGCCTTCCGGGGTACTTGCATCCTTCTCGTGCATGCTTAGTCTCAGTTCCGAGCGATGGCAAGGCCGGTCCACGCGTCAACCAGGAGAGCGTTTTTGTAAATCCCCTGGTGATAAAGGGCGTGACCGTGGAGAGGAGGGCCAGAGAGAGGGAGCCGGCCACGTCGCGATTCGCGCCGGCGCCGTCTCGTTCCCAGACGGCGCCCGCGCGCATTGCGACGTGACCGTACAGTGCCGTGTTTAATACACGCTCCGCGTGCGGATCACGTATCAAAAGATGCAGGGATCCAGTATTAAAAACCACGAGGAGTTCATGCACAAATGTATTCATACATGGATCATGCATTAGAAAGCCTATATGTTTAAAGATCCTATGTACTAAAAACTGCCCTGTAGGGAAGGGGGTGGGCGGGGCTGGCCACGAGCGTGCTCGCGGAGAGCAGAACCGAAAAAGAAGGCTCCAGCGCCTCGCTGCCGAGTGCAAGGCCGTTGAAGCCACCGTTCTTTCCGCCCCGCCGTGGATTGCTCGCTTTGCCCCCCTCTTGCCCCCAGCTCGTCGCGACGGCGGCGGTGGCCACCGTCTCGCGCCGCCCTCGTTCGACCTCTCGCGCCCGCCAGCTTCGCTGCCTCGAGTCGCGAAGCACGATCCTCGGACCTCGATCGGGGAGGAGGAGGAGGCGAGAGGAGAAGGCGAGAAGAGGAGGCGATGGGAGGAGAGGGGAGGAGGGAACGAGAGGACGAGACGAGAGGAGAAGGAGGGAGGAGGAGACGAGGAGGAGGAGGAGAAGGAGGAAATGGAGGCAGACGAGGAGAAGGAGGAACACGAGAGGATGAGAGAGGGAGGAGGAGGAGGAGCAGAAGGAGGAGGACGAGGACGAGGACGAGGAGGAGGAGGAGGAGCAGCAGATGAGTCGAGAGACGAGGGGGGGAACGGCAGAAGGAGACGAGAGGAGGAACCAGGATGAGAAGACGAGAGAAGAAGGAGGAGGAGGAGAAGGAGGAGGAGGAAGAAGAGACGAGGGAAGGAGACGACAGGAGGAGACGAGAGGAGACGAGGGGAGGAATCGGGAGGAGAAGACGAGAAGAGGAGAAGGAGGGGGAGGAGGAGGAGGGGGAAGAGGCGAGAGAGGGAAATGGGAGGAGACGACGAGAGGAGCCCCCTTTTTTTACTCGACGAATGGGGCTGCATGCCAACTGGTTTGGGTACACATTGAGGCGTATAACCCGTCGCTGGATCGCTTTCGCTCTGATCCGATCCTGGTCAGCTATGCAGGCTGGTGCGCACGCTCGATCGATGCTACAACTCGGAACGCGGCGGGGCAGGCTGCACACGAGGGAAGGCTGGCGCCTCTGGGAGGCGAGCTATCTGCATGTATGCACGGCACGAGAGGCTGGAACAGGGCTGATCGGCATTCAGCTAGCTAGGCAGCCATTGCTGGCAGCGGCAGCTTAATCGAACTCGAACGGGCAGTAATCGTCCTCGAAGTCGATCGGGTCTGCGGCAGGAGTCAAAGAAGCGGGCGGAGTCGGTGCCGTGCCCCCGATTGTCTCTCCACGTACAAGCACTATCGAGTGAGAACGTGTAGCCACAACGCCATCTCGTCTTCCAGCCACCCAGGCGGGGCGACACCAGTGTGGCGCAGGGCCACTCCCTCCGCGATGAAGGCGTTCGTGACCGCTCCCCGCATCGGCCACACTGGCGCCGCCACCTGTAACGTCACCTTCTCTTCGTCGAAGCACTTCTCGATGCGGATCGCGGCCACGTCCAGCTCCAAGTGCGACCTCGTGATGGGAGGCTCCTCTCCGTTCGCTGGGATGATCTGCTCCACGTTCGTGCTCAGGTCGGCCTTCGCTTTTCCACCTATGTCGCACTCCATCAGACTCGAGAAGGCCGACCTCGAGGCTCGCCACTGGCGAGCCCACCTCGCGCAGCGCCTCGGCGCCGTTCGGGCGGGCCGCCTCCACCTTCTTGCGGTACTCGACCATCACCGCCTCGAGCTTCTGGACCACGCGGTGCCCTGGGGAGCGTGAGCGTGTCGATCGTCGTCGATGATGATAGACGCTGCCTGAAGGCGGTTTGAAGCGTGAGCTTCGTCAACGTCGCCAGGCACTGCATCAGATTCTGGTCGTTCGATGTCCATTTCTTCTGGCTGTGGTTGCCGCGCCTGCGGCGCCTGCCGCCTCGGTGGCCTTGACCGCCCTTGCCCCCCTTGCCGCTCTTGGTCTTCTCCTTCTGCGAGTCCCCCTCCATGACCTGGTCGCCGTCCCTGTCGCCCTTGCGCGGGTTCTTGGCAGGAGGAGGAGCCGAACCGTCGTTCCCAGAGGCGTTGGAGGCAGGGCAAGAGCCCTTCAGGAGCCACGAGGTTGTTGGACGTGCCGCCGCCGACGCTGCTGCTGCCGTGCCCGTCATCTTCAGCTGCTGCTGCTGCCTCTGGGATCCGTCGGAGAAGTAGGGGGGTGCTCGCGGCTGTTACACGCGATGTAGTACTCGCAAGTTTGGCCCGAAAATGCTCTTCAAGTTCTGCCCGCGAGGGGCGGTCAACTGGAACTGGGTCTGCACGTGGTAGCCGATGTAGACGACGAGAGGAGGAGTAGGAGGAGGAGGAGGAGGAGGAGGAAGAAGAGACGAGGGATAGAGACGAGAGGATGAGACGACAGGAGACGAGAGGAGCCAAAGATGTTGTCAAAGTTGTCCCTTGCCCAAGATGTCCCCAGAATTCCACGGGAGGCCTTCACGCCGGCCATCATGGTCCATGTCGATCCGATCGATACGATTTGATATCGATCTCCGCATGTCCGATCCTTTGATTCCGCTGTCCCGATGGTCCGATGCGGCCCGATGCTTTCAAATAGCGGTGGTGCATCCTGGCCGCGTACGGTCCGACTCCGAACCTGCACCAACATTCGGCCCGATTCGACGCGCGCTCCGATCAGATCCGATGCATGTACGGATCCGATGCGTACCGTGCTTGACCCATACGCCAGCGCCGACCTTGGCGCCAGGGAAGCCCTCGGCGTCGACGTCGACGCCAGCTTCTTCTCGGGTGTTGCTCAATGTCGTACATTTCTTCCCCTCTTTATCGGTTGACTGTTGGTGTGCAGCCTGGCGCTCTCCGCGGTTGGCGCCCCCCCCGCAGGAGCAGTTCAAGCACCTCTGCTGCTCCGCCGCCGAGGCCGCGGGCCACGTGGCCTGCCAGCGGGCCGCGGACGCGGCCGCCGCGGTCCTCCGGGGCGCCGTGCACGCGCTGGCCTTCGAGCTCGCGGCCCGCGGCGCCCCCGCGCCGCTGCCGGCTGGGCCGCGCGCGGCGCTGCTGCAGGTTCGGAGGAGGAAAATCACCACCCACCAAACCACCCCAACCCAACCCGAAGGCTCAGATTTACCCTCGATTTCCAGTGGGGGGGGGGGGGGTCAGGAAACATCGAAAAAACACATGTGGAACCCTTACCCCCCCCAACCCGAAATTCGGGTCTTCGGGTTGGGTTGGGGTGGTCTGGTAGGTAGTCAGAAAAGGTATCCGTACCTTCACCCGTCCCTCGCTTTCCGGTTTTTGGGCCTCCTGGGCGGCCCTCGTCGCCACCGCTGGATTCGCCTCGAAATCAGAGTCAGAACGCACCCCAGGAGAAGTCCGGGGAGTAGCGGTATCGGTACCCTTTGATTTCCCCACAGGTGGCGTGGCTCGCGCTGCCGGCGCGCTGCTGCGCGAGGGCGGCGGCGAGCTACTGCTCGGCCAGGGAGGAGGCGCGAGGGCTCCCCGGCATGCTCGCGCCGAGGAAAGATCACGACAGTTGGCTTTTGAAGGTTTTCGGCCCCTGGGGGCTCTGTCCGCGCCGCAGCACCGTCAGCAACCGGCTCGGGATGAAGAGCGGGCCCGGGGGAGAGGGTCGGGACTTCGGGGGTGTAAAGGCCTGCCCAGAGCCTTAAGCGCGACCCAGAGGGTTCGTCGCGACCTCGGCGCGGGGCATGCGTGAGGTTGGCGTGAGGTGTGTTTCCGAGACATCATTTTTGCGTTGGCGTTCAAGGTTGCAACTTATTCATCAGCCGTTATTGACATTGGCGAGGGTTATTTTGTTGGGGCCACTAGCGCGCGTCAATTCGCAAACATGAGCGCGGCGCCACAAACGTTCATTGTAAATCGGATGGGTCGCGGCGCATTGGTGGTGTGGTTAAAGATTTGTTACATCGCACGTGAGAAAGAATCGCTTTCGCAATGGGTTGGGGCTGACATTCGAAAACCAGCGCCTTCGGCAAATATCGCAGGTGCTCGCCACGTCTTCTCCCGAACTGACGCCGCCGCGCCAATCGTTTACACCAGCCCGAGCGAACGTGAGTATTGAAGTGGGGTTAGTCCACCGTTGTTTTGTTCATTGTTGTTTGTCAGAGTTTTTCAGCATCGCACGTATTAATGTACATGGCCATGCCGTCGTCAGAAGCTCGGGGCGGGGTGACATTCGAATCTGTACAGGGGGTTGCCCAACATACGTTGGAATTCTAGCCTCAGATCACAATTTTTCATGATCCCTCAGATAGTTGGCAGCGCGTCGGAGCAGGTTTGAGTTATGATAAAGCCATGCCAAACCATACCGAACCAATGCCATACCATACTACCATACCAATACCATACCATACCAAGCCATACCATACCAATACCATACCATACCATACCATACTGCCACCACATACCAAGACATACCGAACAATACCAAACATGGGATGCCCCGTCTGAGCGAGGAGGGTATTCGAAAACTATGTTGTATATCAGGTTCCGTGCCCCGCCCCCGCCCCTCCAAGGAGGCCCCGCCTGAGCGAGCAGGGTATTCGAAAGCCATCGAAGTTCAGGGCAACCCGTTGTAGTTTGTTCGTGCAGGAGGGTGGCACTTATTGCCGACGACGTCGTTGCTGATTGCATTTGTTCGGCACCCGTGCCCCCCCTCTGGCTGAATGCGCAATTCGGGATTTGCTTGTTTAATTGGGCCGCTTCTGGGACAATACTTCCTGGGGCCGTCCGCAACGGCCTTTGCGGTATTCAAGGTTGAACGCTTCCGTAGCGGTTTTGGCTCAAGCGTGCGTTGGTTCCAACGTGCGTTTTTTGCTTGGTCGCCTCAGCATGTTGCGTGCTCCTGGCGACGACGTGGTCGACGACATCGGCGGGCCTGGGTCGTTCGACATTGACGGCGTCGCTGGTGACGCCAGGGGAAGCGACAGCGATGGTGTGTGCGGGCCTGTGGCGTCTGACCTTGCTGGCGCTGGTGCTGTGCAGCGGCGGCCACGCTGTCGCCGAGCTGCGCCGCCGCCCAGGCACGGTTTTTTTTTTGCCCTCCTCGTCGTGGACGCACGCGGCACAGAGGCGCCGCTGGCGTTGCTGGACCGACTGGCGGGGGGGCCAGCCATGCACCTTGCAGGATTTTGCAGGTGCCAGTGGGCGTTTGACACTGCGCATTCTGAATCACAGGATCGCCATTCCTCGTCGCTGTGCGGTGTTGCCTCCGCCTCGGGCTCGACGTGGGGGTTCATTCATTATGATGTTGTTGATCTGTGGGAGCTCTTGGCTTTCGCGCCAGTGCCGCAAGAAATTGCCGACGACGTGAACGAACCGTCACACCTTCCCAGCTTACTTGAAGCTGTAGCGGGCACTGCAGTTCACGCCTGTTTCAGATCGGGCGAATACGTTGGTGCGTCGAACGTTTTGAATTCTGTGCGACATGTGTTTGTGCTGACTATGTCTGTGTTGGCATTCCTCCTTTCGGCTAACTCGAGATGCGCGTTGTCATCATGCAGGCTCTGCGCTCGCTCGTCGCCCGCATCCTTCGTGCCAGGTTGCCCTGCGAAGAGCGTCATCCATCGATGGCGGCGGCTTCATGGACCTCGCAGGGCGCGTGCTGCGAGGGCTTCGCCGCGTCTTGGAGGGCAGGTGCGTTCCCACGACGAGGTCGTGCTGGAGCTCCCGATGGCGAAGCGCCGTCGCACGAGGGCCTCTGCTGCTGGCGGCGGTGGCGGCCTAGCCGGCAGGAAACGGAAGTTCGACGCCGTGAAAGTGTACAAGGCGTTGAAATTCCGCCGCCATTTGCGGTCATCTTATGACTTCGCGGAGGCTCTCGCCGACGCCCACGCTTACGATCGCGACGAGGAGCCCGCTGACAGGGAGGTCAGCGATGACGTCACCAGGACGTCGCGGGCCCCGTTGTCCCAGCCCAGACTGCTGACTTTGCCTCCCCCCCCTCGTCCCCCTTTCCCGAAACCGACGCCATCGGAATCGATGCATCCAGGGATGGTCCTCTTGGGATCAGCAGGGTATCTGGAAAGTAGCCCAGCGGGAGCGCGGGCCAATAGGGGGCAGGGGCGTGTGGGTGGGGGATGGCGAAGTCGGCCGTCTGCGCTTGGGCGGCGATGTGGCGGTCCAGGACGAGCCTCGAGAATGGGCTTCGCCGTGTCGATATAGTTGCCATGCTGCTTCACCGTCGTGTTTGGCACGCTGATCGGGTTCATGATAGAATCGACTTGATATCTTTGTTTACTGACGCTAGCCCGAACTGCGGGCACGAGCTGCAGGGCACAGTAGCTTCAGTTCTCAGGAAAGATGGCTCGTCTTACCACATTACCTTTCCTGGGTCTACCCTTTGCTACGGCCAAGCAGATTTGGTCTCGAAGGGTATCGCCTTGCTTTGGGGATTTTTTTTGATTGCTGGACGTGATGAGGAGGATCTTGAATATTTCTGCGCAAAGGTGACTGCAGTCACGACGGACATGGGCACCGAACGGATGACCATCCAGATGCCGAATGTGCGGGATGCTTTTTGGAGGTGGCTTCGAGGCGAATCCATCGGGAATCTGTTGCCCTACGTGAAGCAGGGGGAGCGGCTTCTGCCGAACGCCATCCGCATGAGTGGGTGGGGCCACACGTTTGGCAATTTGGCCAAGCATTGTTGTCTTACGTGGGCGGCGTGGCCGCAGAAGCTTGCACGATTGAGAGCTCTTTGCGCTTTCTTTAAACATGCTACTTGGCGCAGGCACTTGAAGCGCATGCTCCATGAGAGCCGTCCCGAGTTGGACTTGGTTGTGCTTGACCGTTTTTCGGCGGACTTCGCCAAATGGAGATACGGCACATTGGAGCATGTCTTGAGCCAGCTGTCTCCATTAGATGCGATTCGCATGCATTGTAGGCCAGAGTGGTTTCGCACTTGCCAGGATTCTGAGACGATCGCTTCTGTTTTCGATGCGCTGGCTGACGATGCGCTGTGGAAGTTTATCGTGCATGCTCGATCACGCGTGTTTACGCCACTTGAGCATGACCGATATTGGGGCATGTGCTGCACGTGCCCCGAGCACGTCCAGGCGCGCATGGAGGCGCGCGCTCGGGGCCAGACTGTGAGCATTGATTGTTTTTACAACTCGCGTAGGCTCCCAGAGGCGTTCGACAGAGTGCAACGCTCCTCGGCTGGTTTTCTACAGAGGGCGAGGGCCCTTACGATGGATGACGTTGGGGGTGACGAGGCCGTTTGCAACGCAGTTGTGACGATGCTGGAATCCTTGACGCTTCGCGCGCCCCCCCCCCCCCGCCAGCCAATCCAGGAACGACGCGCAGGCGAGTCGACGCGACCATGGGGGATACGGTAGCAAGTAGCGGGCGCCACCGAGCCGTGCGACGGAAGGGGGGGAGGGGGGGGGGGGGGGCAGCAACGCAAGACGCGTATCAAGTACATGCGGGTTGGTGCGCACTTGGGCTCCTCTCTGGGCCTTTCGGAGCCCTCGCGGAGCCCTCTGGGGCCCCCCGCATGCGGGTGCTCCAAAAGTTTCCATCGGACATCCGATGACGATGGGGCGGATGGGGAAGTGGAGCGAGGGCAGGGGGGTGGAAGGGGGAGGTTGATGGGGGCGCGGGCGGGATGGGAGCGCTGGATGGGGGTGATTGGGGCGGAGGGTTTGGTGGAGGAGGGCAGGCCCAATGGGGGGGCGTTGAGGGCGGGGTCGCACTAGGAAGTTGGAAGAGGAACCGTCCTAGACCGCTTGCGCCCAGAGGGGTGGTGGGATTTCTGGGTGGCAACGTGTTGACTAGGAATAAGTATTCGAGTGCACCGCCGTGGTCGTTCGTCCACACGCTGTCCGCGGACGGTGCCAGAGAGTTTCTGAGGAGGGTTCGGCGAGTCCCCCTGGCGCAGCATGACCTTCTTACGCAGCGGTTGATGGCCGCGCATGAGGGCCACATTCAGGAGGTCGCCGATGGCCGCCCTGCCCGCCCAGAGCACGCTGACCAAGTGCGGCGCTACTCGCTTGCACCTCTTGATGAGTCCCGCGGGGAGGGATGCCACCGCGGCACGACCCACGAGAAAAAACGCGCGCCGTCCAGCACGCCTCAGCATCTCAAGCAGAGCGTCAGACAAAAGGCATGCTTTGAGTACGTTGACCGTTTCAGACAGTCTTACGGTGAGCGTGGTGATGCAGTGTTGCGTTTTGAATGGGACCGATTTAAGAGGATCTTGCGGCCTCCAGGCGGTCGCCAATGGAAGCCAGTGCGGATGCAGTTGTGCGATTTTTTCCAGCGTGTTTACCGCGAGGATGACATGGCGGAGGGCGTTTGGAACGTGGTGGCGGGCCCGCAGCCCGACCCTCGCCCCGCCGTCGCTGAGCAGGTCGACCAGCTCCAGCGGCTGCATGTCGAGTACATAGCGGCCGCAGTTCAGGCTGGCGGGCAGTACAGCGTCAGCGCGCCCGAGGCCGAGACAAGGGCGCGATGCCGCGAGCAGAGCTAGCGCGTCGTGGTCGGCCCGAGCTCCACCCTCCCTGCCATGCCACCCCCCACGCCAGTCCGCCCCCTCGCCATGTCACTCCTAGCCCTTCAGCCCTTCCTCTTCCTCCGTGCCCCAGCGCCCTCCTCCACCTCCTTGAGCTCTCCTCTTCCGCTCCATCGCCCGCCGCGTGCTCGACCCTCCCTCTGACTTGGGGGCGTCCAAACAGGGGTGGGGGCGCTTCTTTTACGATTTCCAGGGAACCACACTATGTTCTGACACGTGTTCCTTCCGAGGCATTCGTCGGTCTGCATTTTGGCGACGCCCCGCCTCATGCCTCGAGTATGTCCCCACACCTCCTGGGTTTCCTTCTCGCCGCGCCCTGTCCTCGTGCCCCTCTTCGCCTAGACAGTCGGCCACGAGTCGCATTTCGCTCTGCTCGCGATGTCGCGCCCTTTTGAGATCCAGGCGGACGGTTCAGACGCCGTTCGTCATCGAGATGTTTTTTTTTTAAAGTGCTGGAAGTCGCCCACGGGCGGTCGCGGGCCCATCTCATGCCCACTGTGGAGAGCGCAGACGATCTGCAGTTGATCGCGCCTGTCGCGTTTCACATCGTGAGCCAGACCGAGGCCGCGGGGCCGCCAGGCGCGGATCCGCCTGCGTCGAGGACAGTTTTTCCAGATGCCAGCCCTGAGTGGGTCAAGCCGTTCTCAATTGCACCCTTCGCTCAGTACATCAGGACTGCGCAGCGGTGGCAGCGTTGCGAGACATCGGCAGCGCAGCCAGGCGCTCTCGCCCTCACAGGGAACGTTCCCCTTCGGCAGCCGTACGCCATCATGGATGCCAGGTGCCCAACCTTTGCGGTGATCCAACACTTGAGGTCACGAGGGTGGCGAGCTGTCCAACACGAGGTAGACCACGTCAGCGATGCTATTGGCGATATGGACGGCACGGTTGCAACTCGGATGAAGCCGTATTATCAGGTTTTGGCCACTCTTGACAAGTGTTTGTTGTTGTCACCAAGGATTCCTTCACGCCAGCCGATGAGATATTATGAGTGTCTGTTGAAGGGCATCTCGGTCGAGCCTGGCCAGCCGAGCAAGCACTATGCGCTTGTTCTTAACCGAGAGTTGGGCAAGAAGGGGCACCTCGCGCTGCATTTGCCCTTGGAGGATGCGCCCGCCGTCCAGCCGTTGCTGGCCTTGGGCGGCGACGGCGACGACGATGGCGTTGGCGGTCCGCTTCCTCTTCGGGATGCACCGCCGCGGCGTCGGCGCGGCCAGGCTCGCGCACTTCGGGATGGCGAGGCAGGTGATGGGGGCGGCCCCTCAGCAGGGCAGCCCGCGTCGTCGGCCGCCGCGACGCCGCTCGCAGACGCTGGCTTGGGGCGCGGCGCCGCTGGCGCTGACGGCGGAGGCGATGAGCTTGGGGGTCCGATGCCAGGCCCCGCGGGCCCGCCGCCCTTGGCGCCCCCGCCCGACGGGGACATGGGCGGCGATGCCCCCGATGTGCCCCCGCCGCCGCCGCCGTTGGGTGCTGGCGCGGGCCGCGGTGCAGATCGGCAGCGCTGGGACTGGGTGCCTGGTCTGGACGGTTGCCAGATCTCTTTTCAGACCTACGTCACGCCCAAGGGTTCGGTGTATAGGAATTTCAAGGTTAAGTGCACCAACCCTGCGCACGGAGATTGTGCGAAGACGCGTGGGGATATCGATTCAGCCAAGGTGCATTTTGGACCATTGGAGCCGCTGGCTTTCCTGCATGTCTGGCTCGCCTTGCGGCCTGACGAGGGTCGGTCTCACACCAGGCTCTCCCCGAAGCTCCACGAGGTCGGAGCCTACTTGGAGAGCCATCGGGGAGAGCTCGAGGGTTTGCGGCGCTTGCTGGTGCCAGAGTAAAAACATGCAAACGTTCAGGGGAGGGGGCGCCACCACGCACGCATATCATTCACAGTAGCAGATCAACTACAGCAGTCGCCACAGAGAACATGTCGAATCATATGAGCATCAACAGTATGAAGCAGCATCGAACATGATAACGCCAAACGCAGTTCGTGACAGCCAGCATGAGCTAACTATGCATACCAACAGGGCAAGCACAAGCAGCACATAAATTTAAACGTCGTCAGCTCAAGGATGTCCAACAAAAGCAACGCAGTCAACATCGCAGCACGCAAAGCACGGCGTTACATCGGACGAGTAGGGCGCCAGCATCTACAGTCCAAACTTCGCAGTTCTTGGGTGGCCCTGGGTTCTGCTAACATGTCACGCCGTTGCCATGCTGGCTCACATTGTTCCTCGTTGGGGCGCACCGCCCCTCGTCACGGTTGACTGGCTTTTCGGCACTTGCCCCGCTATGCCTCCCATGCTCCCCATTGCTGCTGGCCCTGACGGTGGTGGTGGTGGCGGTCCGCCTGTCCGCGCTGAACCTCGGTCGATCGCCCGTTTGAAGAGGAAGGTCTTGCTGCTCAGAGTCCAGCTCAAGCACGAGCGCAAGAAGGCCAAAGAGTGGCGCACGCAGGCGGTTCGGATTCAGCGCGCGTTGGCCCAGGCGCTCGACAGGGCCGCCTCCACCGACAACTCGATGAACCAGGCCATTTCGCAGCTAGTAGCCAACCATCATACGTCGGACAGCGAATGAGCCTGCGAGCATGCGTCGGACAGCGATTGAGCCTGCGAGCATGTGTCGGGCAGCGATTAAGCCCAGTGCCGAGGACCCCAAATTTTAACCAGATAGCGTGGCGGGCTGCCCGTTGCGAGTCGGAGTCCCGCGCAGGCCGACGCAGCTTCCGCGTGCGGCGTGCTTGAACGATGCGCGCAGAGAGACCTCAGGGGGATGATGGCGAGGAGGAGGACGAGGTTTCGTGTCTTCGGAGGTTTCCGTTCCAGGTGTTTTTTTTTAACCCTTCCAGGTTCGGCGCCAGGGCTCAGCAGGGGGCCCAGGGTCGGTGTTCAAGGCCCTCGGGGGCTCCAGGTTCCGTCTGGCACTTGAGCCATGGGGTGGGCGCAGTGCTCCTCCTCCTCCTCCTCCTCTTCCTTCTCTTCCCCCTCCCCCTCCCCTTCCTCCCCCTCCTCCCCCGCCCTTCTCCTCCGCATTCCCCCGCCCCTCGCGCCCTGCCTGACTCCGTGCCGGCCTCCATCATCTGCGTTCCTGACTCAACCAGTCGTAAACCATGCTCAAAACTTGCCCAATGCACGCCTAAACCAGCCGACAACATACCTAAGCCCGCCCAATACACACCTAAACCAACCTCAAAACATACCTAAGCCATCCCAAAACATATCTAATCTTGCCCAAGCCATACCTAAACCATCCCAAAACATACCTAAACCAGCCCAACACATACCTAAGCAAGCCCAAAACATACCTAATCCACACCAAAACATACCTAAACCGTCCTAACACATACATAAACCATCCCAACATATACTTAAACCAACCCAATACATACCTAAAACAGCCCAACACATACCTAAACCAGCCCCAAACATACCTAATCCACCCCAAAACATACCTAAACCGTCCTAACACATACCTAAACCATCCCAACATATACCTAAACCAACCCAATACATACCTAAAACAGCCCAACACATACCTAAACCAGCCCCAAACATACCTAAACCAATCTTAAACATACCTAATCCATCCCAAAACATACCTAAACAAGCCCAAACCATACGTAAACCAACCCAATACATACCTAAAGCAGCCCAAAACATAGCTAAACCAGCCTCAGGCATACCTAAACCAGCCCAATACATACCTAAAACAGCCCAAAACATA